AGCAATTTCATAATATTAGAAAAGCCATATAGATAACTGGTTATGTGATGCAAATGTCAAAATCTATTAGTCTACAAATCATGGTAAAAGTTTGGTAAGAGTGTTTTGAGGTCATAACATAGTGGTCTAAGCCAAGGAACGGAATAGAAGTCTTTAATCTGGCTCAGTAGCAATTTTTGTGTAAAGAAATAAAGTGGTTGGTGTTTTATTGCCATTGGTGTTCATTTCAGCTGGGAACTGCAGTAAATTTTAGGCTACTGTAGGTACAGACCTTAGTCAGGGTGGCGCCATATTTAATTTTTGATAAGAAAACCAGGCTGAGAGGGATAGAAGTACAGTGCGGTCAATGGATTGTACATGTTTAACAACATGGCAATTGATAAACTGATGAAACCGCTTTCAGGAAAAAAAAAAAAAACCTTCGTCACAATTCGCTGCTACTGTGTAGGAACGAGGTGACGAAGGAGCGAGGAGACATCGGAGAACATAAACAGGATTTATTTACTCACACGTACAGGAACCGACAGACGTTTAATACCAGACAAATAATTAAAAAAAAAAACCTTCGTCACAATTCGCTGCTACTGTGTAGGAACGAGGTGACGAAGGAGCGAGGAGACATCGGAGAACATAAACAGGATTTATTTACTCACACGTACAGGAACCGACAGACGTTTAATACCAGACAAATAATTCTTCTTCTTCTTCTTCTTCTTCTTCTTCTTCTTCTTCTTCTTCTTCTTCTTCTTCTTCTTCTTCTTCTTCTTCTTCTTCTTCTTCTTCTTCTTCTTCTTCTTCTTCTTCTTCTTCTTCTTCTTCTTCTTCTTCTTCTTCTTCTTCTTCTTCTTCTTCTTCTTCTTCTTCTTCTTCTTCTTCTTCTTCTTCTTCTTCTTCTTCTTCTTCTTCTTCTTCTTCTTCTTCTTCTTGTTTTATGGCGGCAAACAAAGAACTCAAAGCAGGAAACACTTTAAATACACAACTTAATCAGGGGAAGACGAGACACACCTGGAATCAAATTAGAATCAATCAGGGAGCAGGAACAGGAAGGTTAACCAAATAAGGACAAACAGGAACATACAAGTGACATTAGTAGACAAAAACTCTTAATGTTTTTCTAATGACAGAAACGTAAGCTTGTGCAAAGAAATTTCGCATTTTTGCTGCATTCCACAGTTTAAGTTTGGTGCACTCTAATGTGCAAATTCGTATCGCGTGAAGCCATGTGGTGTATGGTGAAAAATATTTATATTAAAAATACTGTATATATTCATGATTTACCATTATTATTATTATTCTTTATAGTCATAAGAATATACTTTATGTTGTGCTTTTATTTCTTTTGATTTATATTTCAATGTGTTCCTTTTGAATGAGGCTTCATATCCATATATAAATCATACCTTATGAATAGTATACTTTACAAATATTTTGCTTTATGAATTTTATGCATTATGATTTAATCTTGTGATTCTTTTATTATTACTTTCATATTCATATTATATTCAACATATTATCCATGTGTTTTATGATCTTAGTATTAACCTGCGTGTGTTGAACATATAAGGATGCTTGCTTCAACTTAGAACATATAGGCTAAGGATGCTTTCTTCAGCTTGCCATGTTTAACCTTTGATCTGAGGGCCCCTTTGTGTTAACAGTCGTATGGTAGACGCCTGGGTTCCTGTCGTCTCAATAAATTTAATTTTCTCCTTTGTCTAAAAAAGGAGCTGTTATTTTTCTTTGAAACCAGGAGACAAGATGTTCTCGAGACGTCTCAGTAAATATACTAAATATCGCTTGTCTAGCTCCTTTTAAGGTCTAGAGGTGTGAAGACTACAATGTCTGTATACGTTGCAGCTGACATGCATTGGTTTCTAAACTATTGTGTCCCTTTTGTGCAAAGTGTAGGAGGTAGGGTATTTCTCAGTGAGTTATACTCTGTTATACTATAATATTTAGATGTCAATATTTGGAAATATTGTAAAAGGATTTATTAATTTTTGGATATTAAAGATAATTTTTCAGTTTGAGTAATTGTCATTCTGGGCAGTAACAATGCTATACACAACAAAGCTATTAATTTTACAATTTCTCAATTTATATTAATAATGTAGCTTTTCAGTAAAAAAGCAGTTGTATTGATTTACTGAAGCAGAGGTTGACAACCGCTGCAACGTTGCAATATTTAAGCAAAGTCATATGTCCTGTATTTTCTGTCAGGATGATAAGGATGTCTGTATTTTGTGTGTGCTAAAGAAATTCTCTAATATTTTCTCTGAAGCCTTAAAAGTCCATCCATTGGGTATGGCATGCTACTGGGAGAGCAGCATGAATATAGCAATCTTGTTCAAAGAATACTAATCTATATTTGTACTAATAAACCTCTAGTGTTTTTGTATATGCCATTTGTTTCTTCTATATTGTACAGCAGTGAAGTCTCAGTCACAGCCTTTACTGTAGCAAAGTACAGAAGCAAGTATAAAGAGTCAGAAAGAAGTATGAATTTATAAAACTCATGGTTTTGGAACAGCTCAAATAATACATGAATGCATTTATTCAATTTATTCTTTTAATTCTTTGATCATATAAAGCACAAAGAAAGCTACAAGATTTGATGTGTGGAACACTGCCTTTTTCTTTCCCAGAGAGAACAGCAAGTGGGTAGTTGTATGTTATAGTTGGTCGGCCTACACTCTTCCATAAAATATGATCAAATGCAGACTTCAATAGAAGGAAAACTTTGACAACTTTTGAAGATGTAGTCAAAGAAGCAGCACATTAACAACACGGCTGGCGTGAACACATATTGTTCGCTTTGAATTACAGTGCTTTTCAAAGGTGTTCAGATTTTTTAGGCGGCCATGAGGGAAGCAACCAATGATACTGTATAACACTTTCACAATGTCTCAACAGTTCCTGTATTGCTGAGGAACTTGCTTAAAACCGTTAATGACAGAAATAAAGATGCCATGATTAAACTAGATGATCGTAATGCTTCTGTAAAGCAAAGTGTGGTTCCTGTTGGAACATAAATATCACATAAGCGTAATGTGCAAAAAAAAAAGTTATTAAAATTAAAATATCCACTATACAAATTACACTGCTAAAACCTTGATAAAATATAACAGTTAATAAACATTCCAACAGTACAAACATGGAAATGATTCAGGCAGAAAATAAAATATAAAACAGATATAAACTTTGCAACTCTTCGACAGTAATGGCACACAGCAATATCACAAATATAACAACGTTTCTAAAGTCCACTCTACAAAGTGCTGAACTGTGACATTTTTAAATGTGGTCAGTGGCTTCCTCTGGAGTTATTGCATTTGTGGGAATTTATGGCCAAAACAATCATTCATAGTGGACATTATCCCTAGGAACAGTTCAATGCACTAAAAGAAAAGAAAGGTTTTTTTATGCCCTATAACAATACACATCTGAATTAAACTGAGAGGTATGTAGATAGATTGGGCAAATTATAAAAATCTATATAAAATGTTATAATTGCAAAATATTTCTAATGGTTTCAATGCAAGCTGCGACCCTTGGCAAGACACGGCTCTGTCTCTGCTTTTGCAGTTGATGGCAGTGGGTGTGATTTTTAATTCTGGCACAAAAATCTCACAGTGAGACATACTGCAGTTGGAGATCTAAATTCTGCCAACTTAATTTTTCCCAAGAAGACACTGCTTGAAAGGAACATTTCACATGGGAATAGAGCTTTCGGATACTGATCATGAAATCACATGGGAACTTATTTCACTGGTCAAACCTCAGCTTCCTGTGAATGTAAAACACTTGCTCATGTGAGCATAATCATGTTTTTTCTTTCTTTCTGAATCTACATCAAGGAGGTCTTTAACACGTAGAGAAAGCTGTCTGTATGTTATTTGAAATCTGACGTTCCAGTTTTTTTTTTTTTTGAGCCAATCACCTGTTCTGAACCATAAATGTCATGTGACTAATTACACTGGAGCCAAAAGAAAAGAAAAGGATGTCATGACAGTGTTAGCTGGCTGATGGCATTACAAGAATGCACACAGTCCCAACTTTTCAGCATCTCTCTTGAGCTGAAAATAAAATAGAATAAAAAAATAAAAAAATAATAATATTAAATAAAATAATAATATTTGTTTTAATGATAAGAGTTGCTTGCAAGCATCATGGCAATTGGATATAAATAAAATAATATTTGTTCTGACAATGAAACTGTAAACAGGAAAAAGACAAATTTGGCTGGTGATGTGAAATTGGTTTGTTTAAAATATATATTTTTTACACTGTACAGTGTCTATTGCTAATGGAATAGCATAAAACCATTAATTCAGTTTCAGCAGTGCAGACATGGAAATGATTGACAGACAAATAAACTAAATTAAACTAAGATAAAATAAGTTTATTCAGGTAGATTTATACAAACAAGATCAATCCCGGATGTCTTGGACATCCCATCAAAGTATTCAGAAGTTATGTGTTCCCTTATATGGATAAGAAAGAAATATAATTGTTGGGTATGAGGATGGTTATAAGTAAGATGTGCATATGTATTTGTCTAGCTGTGGTTAAAGTTTCACACCCAAAATAGCATCTGCAGTGTGTATGTGTAAAAAAGGAAGTACATAAAGTACATCTATTTGAGAGATAAAAGAACAGAGAGTAAAGCCTTGAAATAATATTAAAATAATGAAATAAAATCAAAAATAAATCAAAAATAAAATAAAATAATCTTTGTTTTGACAATGAAAATATAAATGGAAAAAAAGACAAATTTGGCTGATGTAAAACTGTTCTTTTCAAAAATAAAATTTTTACACTTTACTGAGTCTATTGCTAAGACCATAATGAAATAAAATAAAACTGTTAATTTAGTTCCAGAAGTGCAGACATGGAAATGATTGACAGACAAATAAACTAAACTAAGATAAAATAAAATAAAATAAAATAAAATATCAATTAAAATAAAAATCAGTCCAGCAGTGCAGACATGGAAATGATCAACAGACAAACAAAGCAAGGGTAACTAAAAGTATAGCAATGCCAAATGCCTTCTGATTAAACATGAACAATAATGCTAAAATATCTGTCTTAGATGATGCCACCATAGATCTAATTAAATGGCCTTTTGTATGAGTTTGGCATAGTTTCTTAGTTCTTTGTCCAAAGTGTATTTCAAATACATAACAAGGAGGAAATCTTCAGTCACAGTCTAGAGTAGAGCTTGTTACTTTCTCTGTCCGATACGATCTGTTCCTCACTCTCCTCAGGCAGGGCAAGTACTTCCCAGCGGCGGCACGGAAGTCTCTGCGGAGAAAGATGTAAAACACAGGATCCAGCAAACTGTTAAGGCTCAGAAAGCCTCGCCCTATCTGATAAGGTACAAACACAGCCTTTTCCCAAACACACGGACTGCTGTGTATCAGCAGTCCGACGTACTTCACACAGCCGATGAAATGATAGGGCCCCAGCACCGTGACAAATACGGCCACCAGAAGGGTGAGCAGACCCCTGATACTCCTCTTCTCCTCGGATAAAAGCGAGTTGATTGCCATCAGCGAGCGGACGGTCTCTCTATGGAGACCAACAATGAAGCTCAGGGGTATGATGAAGGACACAAGCAGAGTAATCAGCCTGTAGGTGATAAAACTGCCCTCTGAGGGATACTTCTCGATACAAAGAGTGTAATTTTCCTGCTTGGGAAAGAGCTTGTTGAATGCAATGGCAGGTGGCACTGCAATTAGAATCCAAATGCTGAGTGCTATCCAGCGAGCAAACTTCAAGTTACGGAGATACTTGAAACTGAGAGGTCTGGCGACGGCCAGGTGACGCTCTAGAGCAATGATACACATGAAAAAGATGCCCGCATAAATGCCAATGTAAAAAAACAAACCCATGAACTGACAGCTCCGGGGTCCGAAGCGCCAGTGGTGTCCGTTGGCGTAGTAATCTATCCATAAAGGCAAAGTCAGAAGTTGAATTAGATCTGCGATCAGAAGGTTGATGACGTACACTGGTAGAACGTTCTCCGACTGGATGAGTCTGTAGAGCCCAAAGAGTGCCAGCAGGTTTAAAGGGGTGCCGATGATGAAGAAGATTCCATACAGGACGGGAAGGAAGATGCCATCTTGACTGAAGTCGATTCCGCAAGCATTTCCCACAGTCGCTGGGATGCTCAGGCTGGTGAGGGCACTAACATTGAAGTGGTTCTTCATCTTTTGCCTATGACAGAGTGGTATTGTGTTCTTTATATGGTTTTGAATCATATTCACAAAACAAAACTACTGCCAGTAGCAACATTTTTTCATTTTTATATGAAGCACCGTCTAAATATATGCACATGAAAAATCGTTTACAGAACAAGTAATTCAAAACACTGTAGGGGAAATTCAAATTATGAATTGCGGCATTTTAGTTCCCAATTCACATGTGGAATCATTGAAGTCAGGTAACGGCACAAATATGCTTCACAAAATTTACATTTATGCATTTGACAGATGCTTTTACCTATGGAAACTACTAAGCCATTCAAGGTATATATTTTTACATAAGCATGTGTGTTTCCTTTGAATCAAACCCATAAGACAAAATGTTTCATCAGTGATTTAATTTTTATGTGATGCAAGACTATTTCAGCACATTTAGTGCCTAAACTGCATTGCACTTGGTAAAAAAAAACATATTTACAAAAGTAGCAAAACTCTTCAGGGAATTCACTCTTAGAAATTCTCATTAGGCTAATAACCTAAATCCAAAGGATACATATGAATAAATCAGAAATGTATACTTACCTAATATGTTCTGATATGAAACGTGAGTTTCACCAAGTAACTGCTGACCGCAGAGACAACTCAAATCACTTAATTTCCTACAGGAACATGACCTCATATGATGCAGAGAAAACATAAAAAAGCATAAAATAAGTATATTTCGGTGTAAATGAGCTCAGCGCATGTCTAACATCAACTAACGTACAAGAGGAAATGTGTCAGGAGGATATGACGTTACTTACTGAATGGCTTAGCCAACATTTAACCAACACCCAAACCATTTTTTTTTTTTTTGGCCGTGTTTGACCAGTAAATATGAACTGTTGCTCTAGAGTCTAGACAACCAATAAAAATAACAACAAAACCAAATATGAGCCATATATGCATGCAAAAAAAATAAATGAATATATAAATTAAATAATTACAAAAATATTTCAAGACATAAAAATGCAGTTTAAATTTCATTTTACATTGACTGATGCAATGGTCACCTTGGACATTTCTGGCACAAAATGTGAATTTAGCATGAAAAAGTCAACTTTTTAAACAATTTTTAAACTACAATGCAGTTACCCTTGACACTGTAAAAATGCTATATATTAAAGGTATTGTTTTTGCATCAAAATAATTAGTTTTACATATAAAATTAATAATTATAATTCATAATTTCATTAATTGTATTAATTTGATTCATTTACAATTTACAAATTAGGTCCATGTAAAATAAATACGAATTTTATTGAAAAAGAAATGGATTTGAAAACATATGAATTGATTTAATGAATCCATCAAATCCCCGCAAAGGTATAGTGACATTTTGAAGCAGTAACAAGAACTAAACATGAGAATTAATATTAGTGTACACTGGCATTTGAAAAAGCTTTATTTAAAGCTTTGTTTTAAAGGCATGTGTTACACATCGGGACAAATACTGTCTGTTCATGTGTCAAGAAATTGGTAAAGTGATGTCAAAGACATGTACAATGCTGGTGTCAGACAGTGAATGGCATCATCTCATGGAAAGCAGCTTGGCATGAACATTGAGAGTGAAGGGTAGATTAAAGCTTGGAGCATGTAAAACCAGTTAAAAGGTTTTTTAGGAAGCTAAAAGCTGGCTCTACCTTAGATGTTCATAGTATTTTTTTTCTTGCTGTCCATTACTGGTCACACTTGAGAGGAGAGATGATATACTAGAAAAACAAGGCATGAGGCATTGATGGTAACCTGCCTACCTTTGGAAATGGCATACATATTTCATACTCGCAGGCCAGGAAGTATAAAACTGCACAGCTTCTATCTGCTTTTGAAGGTTTTATCAGTCCCCAGTTGATCTAGAATCTAGGTAATACTCTTCAAGCAGACTGAAGTGGCATTTCTTAGGGCTGTTGGTGAGTCCAGCCTGAGGGAGCTCCTCCAGAAGCCTCTGGAACTGAAGCAGATGCTTGGCTCAGTCTTTGGAGTGGATGAATACATTGTACAGTTTTTGTACATTTCATATGGTGATTTCTTGTGTGGCTCTTTGAATAATGTCCAAGGGTAGTTTGAAAAGAGGAATGGCATAACCTGGTAAATTCATGGGTTCAATCTTTAGAGAACACACCAACAGATTATAACAAATACAGGGGTTTTCAAAGTTTTTTATTTTTTGCCAATGACCCCCAAAATGAGGTGGTCGTAAAATATCATAATATATAATATCATAAAATATAAAGACAGCTATATTGTTTCACACTGTGAGAGAAAAAAAAAGTGTGATATTGCAAATAACATCTATGTAAAATTACATAATTGGCTTTTATATTGTTACTTACAAAAGTCAATGGAAATTAATGCAAATTTTATTGTTAACAAGTAATATAATTATACTTTTTTATTAATTTGTCTTTTTCTTCCCACTATCAGAGTAATGTAAAATATGTATAGATAGATAGATAGATAGATAGATTAACATTTTCTTAATTTTTGAATCAAAGTGCTTTTCATAATAAATATTGTTCCAACGCAGAAGTCTGTTATAATGCATTGTTTATTAAATATATGAATATATTTAATAAGCAAGTTAACAGGTAAAAACCAAATGCATAAATTTAAAGTAAATGTAGTAAAAGAATGCCATTTGCTCACCACAGAATTCCAAACAATTTTGCTAACACAACATCGCACAAGTGTATACTTTTCAGAACTGGCTGGTTTGGAGTTCATTCACTTGCAGATCAATAGGCAACAGAAAATAACCCTAAGAGGAGTGAACTTTCAATAAAACTATCGATTTCTACGCTGAAAAGACTTACAATATGTCAAGGCGCAGCTTCGTCGATGTACACAGCTTGGTTTAAGTGTCAGGACTGGCCAAATGCAGTTTGAGCAAAATAGCAAAGCAATCTTCAATGTTCCTGGGGAGGAACAAACAAACACAGTGCACAGCATCCTTCTGTCATAATCGTGTCCTTCACTCAATCAATACCAAAGCTTTCAGAGACTTTATAAAAAGCCATCGATGTCTGGAGATAATGCAATTTCATAATACTGTGGATCTTTATTTCCTCAGCCCAACAGATGCACTCATGCTATTAACATACATCGATGATTTAGTACTCAGGTAACTGAATTTTCTCCTTAATTAGCAAATCAATAAAGTGATTGCTTTCTGCTGTTGTAGTGAAAGGTCACTGGTGTGTCTTTGTATGCTGAATAATTGAATTTACATGGATTAAAGCAATTTGGTAGAGGTTTAACATTCATTTGTAGCCAAACCTATTAAATAAACCCATTGCAGGTGATCTTAACGCTGTGACACAATGGCCCTGGTGATTCATGCCCAAACTGTAAGCACTCTACCTCCGGAGGTCCCATCTGCAGGGGCTGCTTGCATGCAATACATAAGAGGTGAAATTGTAGTTGATGCATGAGCACTCAGTGAACCAATGGGATTTGGCCTAAAGAAAACAGCATGACAAAATGCACTTGCAGAGAATTCTGCCTCCACATTTGTTACAAGGCCGCTTGCAAGACGTAAATGAAAACGCTGGCAGAGGAAAGGGCTTGCTCACGGTGACTTTGACATAGTGATTTTATAGGTATGCTTTGCTGGGACTTCTCATGGTGGTGACCCATTTTATTTGGTCGCTGTTTTGCTAAAAGTCGGGGTGTTCTGATCATTTTACTTTAAAAGTCTGGACGGAACATGGAAATATATTGAATCACTGAACATTTAACTGAATTATGAACATGCAGTAATGTCAGTCTTCATGATCTAAAAACTAACTATTAAGCTTTAAGATTCAGCTGTGTTGTTATCTTACATTGCTTGACCCTCCTGTTGTGTTGGGGTCAATTTGACCAACATTTGTTTTTTGTTTTTTTTAATTGCTTGAAAATTGGTCTATTTATTTCCTCTTTAATTTTTTACTCCTCTTGAAACTTTTTCATATATGCATGAACAGTTTTACCCCTATTGATTTCCATGCAATGCCAAAAGTCAACAGTTTGAAAAACAGTCAAGAGTTGAATAAGAAAAGACAGAAAAAAAAAACTTTATTGTAGCTTGCCAAAGGCTAAAATATGAAATATATTAGAGATTCTATGAAGTATAAGACTCAAAGTTTACTTTAAATTGAAGACAAGCTACAATAGAGGTTTTCTGTTTTTATATGAATTTTCAGTTTTTCCATAGTGTCGATTTTGGATGAATTACATGAAAACCAATACAGAAGTTATAACTGAATTTCAACACAACAGGGGATTTAAGTTAAAGGACTCCAAATTAAAATTCTGTCATTATTAACTGGCTTTTATGGTGGAAACAAATAATTTCCTTTTGTCTAAAACAAAAGGAGATGTTTAGGAGATTCACCTTCATTTGAAATGGAAAAGATCAGCTTGGTCATTCTGCAAGATAACTCATTTTGTGTTTTACTAAATAAATAAAGTCAAAAGGATTTTGGAAACCACATAAAAGGAAAAGGGATAGAGGAAAGTTGTGATGGCCTTTATTCATTGACTGTTCTCGTTATATCATGCTGTCTGTTCAGGCTCATTCATCTCACTGGAATTACCCTCAAACCTCATTTTCTTTGTAAATGTCCTTATGAATATTTACAAAACCTTCAGCATGCATTAATGGGTTGTGGAGGACTGATTTGATATTTACAACTTCTCCAAATATTTTTAAGGAACTCGGAGTGCCGTGTTTGTTTTATCTCCATGAGGATATTAATTAGAGTGTCCTCTCTGCAAATAAATGGGAAAAAAAGACATTACTATAAATAAACATTGACAAACACAATCGACAATTAAATTGCAAGTCATATTCAACATTAAACACACACACACAGAATGTAAACTATAACACTGAATTCAGGGGGGAAAATGTCATTACTTCATAAAAACTAGCAAGAAAAAAAGGAAGCTACCGTTAGTCCAGTTGATGGAGAAATTATGTTGCACTTTCTAAAAATAGTGTGTTCAAGTCAAACTCTCTTTCTTTAGAGAACAGATTAAGTAGAGAAATTCCAATCCAACTTCTGCTTTATGGCAACCAAATCCAACTTCTGCTTTATGGCATTTTTCATAGTGTCCGATAGCCAGCGTAATCACTGCCATATTCCATTGCAAAAGTTAGAAATGAAGAGAAATGTTTTAGTTAATGCATTAGCTAACATTAACAATGTGCAATGTATTTTAACATTTATTAATTCTTGTCAATGTTAGTTAATAAAACTTGATAATTTGATTTGTTTATACACTGTATAAAAAATTAACTTACCAGCACACCTGACAGGAATGTACCTAACCAGATGAAAACAGAGAGCTAGGCACTACTCTGAAATTTAGATATTATCATACTGATTTGTGTAATTGTACCAGGATGTATTGTTTTAAAGTCACAATGATGTCACTCCTTGAAGAATTGTCATTACTCAAACACAAGCTGCAAAAACATTTGAAAATGCACTATATGTTGTTTAAATCAGATTAAAAGAAAAACTAAATGATTTCCATCTTTAAACTTCAGTAACTTCAATATATTACATAAAGTAGGACAAATATGCACTGCATAGTAGGTTTAACCTTGTGCCTCTTTCGTCTGCTGTGATTACAGCAGCTTTGTCCGCCTTTAGGTGGAAATAGTCCTTCCATCTGCAGCAAAATGAAAAGATGCCGTCTACTCTGTAGAAATGTACTG